TCGATTCAGGTTCCCAGCAATCCCCTCACCTCGGTAATTTTTCACACTTTACTATACTTTTGTCCGTTATTCCGAAAATGTTATGTAATAGTACCTTACAATTCTTATAATTTTTGTTTGAAGAGCTCACCGCAGCAAGTACAAGTCACCATATCTGCAGAAGAGGTTGGGGCAACGGAAAAAACTCCTTATAGTTCATTTGCATATAATGACATCTCTTCCTCTTCATTGTTGCAAATTATCAGGTAACTTAAGTTTATTCTACAATCCCATTCCTGCGCTTTCAGATTTCTTACCTTATCTCATTATGATTTTTATAAATTTTATAAACTCTATTGACCTCCCTTAATATATAGTTGTCAGTTTTCTTGAATCGTGGCTGTTGGTGTTACCTATAACTTATAATGCGTATCTATTCACGTTGACTCTAAATTACTGCCACATTCGTTGCATAGGTTGAGAACACGGAATGTAGTTTTCAATTACAGATACTACAACAACAAATTGCAGAGGACTGAAGGTAATTTTGTAAAATCTCTAACCTGTTACATACCCATATATATATATATCTTCTGTTTACCTAACCTGTCTCATACCATAAGATATAGTATATGTATTATCTTTCGCTTACATTTTGAATACTTTTGCTTTGGGTCTTGCAGTAACTGAAGACTTTTCTTGTCCATTCTGCTTAGTCAAATGTGCCAGTTTCAAGGTGGACTTTCATTTTCCTTCTCGTTCATACCTCTCAGTCAAAGAGACAGCTGTAGTGACTGGTCGTTGTAGTGATGCAATCTTTTTTTGTTCCCAATCATGTTGTAGGGCCTGAGTTATCACTTGCCATCAACCCATGATCTCTTCAATTTCGAGTTTTGGGTTAGTAACTTCAAGCAGTTTGCTGTTGCTCATTATTTTCTTACGGTTGCCACTAATCTGCTCGACTTGGTATTTAGGTATCTGAAGAATATCAGGCTGTAAATGTCTCTCTCAAGACCGAGACAATGATGTCCGAGGTTAGAGCATCTTGTTTGTTCTATTTAGCTCTCATTAGATTCTCTGCTGTAGATATTTTAAGCTGTGACAATTTCAGTTTCCGAACTATTATCCTCAGTGAGTTGTTGACTTTTGAGAGCTTATATAGGAGAAGTGGAATGTTTTGTTGTTATTTGCCACACTATGTGTCTGCTATTATCCTCAATTACATGAAGAGAATAAAATCACAATGACATCGCTGCAACCATCAGAGCTGGATTGTAGAATAAAGTTTGAATTATATAGGAGTGTCAAACCTTTTTGAAGTTATTGGTGCTATAATATATTCGAAGTCTTCGTAGTTTTTTCAGATTTGATGTTTACTCTTAGCAATGGTTTTCTCAGATTAATAAGGACGACGTTGACCCAAAGAAGCAAACGTTCTTTTTCTCGTAAGTTATCTGGACTACTATGTTGCCTTTACTTATCTTACTAGCATTTGGCTGTCAGTCTTCCAGACATTAAAAATTCTACAATATATGACAGTTCAAAGAAATTCAGACGTAGGAGGCAAAAGAGTCAGGTACGGAGCACAAGGCAGGGGCATCATCTTGGATTAGGTTGCGAGGTGCTAGATAAGACTGATGGTATGTGTTTGATTGAAACTAATAGTATTGGCTTCTTTTGCGATGAGAACCTGTCTATTTTTGTTATTTACTTTCTTATGTGCATTCTACAACGTTGGATCATTTGATTTCCAGATGCCGATTCTGTTAGAGGTGAGAAGAGCCGTGTACCACCTGGAAAGCATTACGAAAGAAATGGGGGTGCTGAATCGTCTGGTCAAAGAGTTCCTCCGGGCACGAGTCCTGCAGACGTGCAATCATGTGGTGATCCAGATAACGTGCAGTCGGCAGCTGGAAGTACGATGTTGCAATTTGCAAAAACGAGGAAGCTATCTATCGAGCGGTCAGATTTGAGAAAGTATGTTTTTGACATTCTTTTGTCGTCCTATCCACCTCTTCTTCGGTTTTCATTCAACTCCATATGGTTCATGCTTTAGTAGCTTGCCCATTCCAAATTATGTGGCTGACTTTTTCGATTTGTTGTCTCCTCCAGCCGTAGCCTCCTTCAAAAGAGACAGTTCTTCCACTCGCATCGAGCTCAGGTGATTTATCTCTTCTTTACCTTTTCTTGCTTATGGAGATTGCAATTGATTTTGATTTTACTATGTGTACTATCGCAGCCCATGGCTCTAGAACAAGTACTTTCTGACCGAGATAGTGAAGATGAAGTTGATGATGATGTAGCAGATTTTGAAGATAGGAGGGTATGTTTTAGACTTTAATATTCTCACTTCTTTATCTTACTTTCATTTAACTTGGAGTTGCGATGCCCATGCACAGCCTTCCATATTCCTTTACCGAACCAAATTGATTTTCTTTACGTTTTTTTCAAAAAAAAAAAAGTTTCTGTGTTTGTTGTTGGTTGTAACATTTCTTTTTACCATTTCGAAACATCTTTCTTTCAGATGCTAGATGATTTCGTTGATGTCACTAAGGATGAGAAGCAGATGATGCACATGTGGAACTCGTTTGTGAGAAAACAGCGGTATGTCTATCTCTTCTCAGTACATGTGATTTCGATTTTTTACAATATACAAATTTGGAGACGCATCGCATGTGTTTGTGGATAAATTTTGCACGACTTCTTTTGGTTCCAAAAAAAGTGAACAATTAGATAACATCCGGTTCCATGTTCTCTGAGCATTACCTTGGCACTGATCCTTTAAAATATATGCAGAGTATTAGCAGATGGTCACATTCCATGGGCATGTGAGGCGTTCTCAAGATTACATGGACCCATCATGGTTCGAACACCGCAGTTGCTTTGGTAATTGAACTCTCTCATTGCCTCCATAGTTTTGTTTAAGTGTTTCAGAGAAGAAAGTGGTTTTGTTGACAAAGGTGAGTACTTTGTGCAGGTGCTGGAGAGTGTTTATGGTGAAACTGTGGAACCATGGCCTTCTTGACGCCCGAACCATGAACAACTGTAATATATTTCTCCAACAGCTCCAAAAGTGAAGACCCAGAAACCATTATTTAAGTAAACATTTAAAAAGAAATGAGAGAAGAGGAAGTGTTTTTGGGTCTAAATTTTTAACTTATGTTGTTTAAAGAGAAATAGGTGCATATTTATGCATGAATTGTCCTCTCTTTATATAAATGTGTACATTGGCTCATTCATCTTTGACTTTGTAGCTCAAAATAATTAGTGCTGATACATGCTCCTTATTCATTTAGGATTTATTTCTATTGGTTGATGTTGGAAAATGCTTTTTCTTAGCATCCAGAATTTGAGATGATCTCTAAAACATGATGAAACTCTATTTCTTATTTTCGCCGAAACAAGTGTTTTTGAAACATAGCATTCTCTGTCAACAGTATATGTATATATTTGCTGACAAGTTTACAAGCAGAGGCAAACCAACTATAAAAAACACTTTGATTTGCTCTGGCGAGTAAGTCAATACGATTTCATAAAATGTGTCATTTTGTGTCAAATAAAGCTCCCTTGTCTTCACACTTGAGCTCTTCAGGGGATATAATACATTGGATTCGCAAGTTTGAAAGATCGTTGAGACATGGACGAACCCAACAAATCACTCCATTGATCACCTGAGTTTCCTCTAATCCTATATCCCTCTTTCACCATCTCATCCCTCTTCTCAGATTTGTATGCCGTCGCCATTTTGTGCTGTTCATCCAGAGATCTGCATATACAAAGCACAAAGCAAGAAAAGTCTTAAGATATACACAAAAGATCACAATGTGGCCAAAAACTAATGCAAAGCATGATGCTATCTATAGTCTTCTTCACCAGCATTCAAAGCAAGAAATGTCTAAGAGACTATGCACAAAAGATTACAATGTGGCCAAACACTAATGCAAAGCATGATGTTATACTCTTCTTCACCATTATATAAATCAAGAAAGTTCTAAGAGACTATACACAAAAGATTACAATGTGGCCATAACTAATGCAAATCATGCTGCTATAGTCTTCTCGGGTATGATTGATTGACCAGCATCAAACACTTGGAAACCAAAGAGCTACATTTGTTTCTATGACGAAGTATGGTTTTGTTTATACCTGAGAATAAGCTTGTCCCAATTCTGGAAACCAGCATTGATGAGGTTTTCAACAGTGACAAGCCTGTGGCTCTCTTTCCTCCCCGTAAGCAAGATGACTTTGTATCCCAAATCCACCACTCTTTGGTAAAGCTTCAAGCTTGGTGTTATCGCTGGTGCTACTCCTCTCTCTACCCACTTATCGAACTCTGAGTGATCAAAAAGCTCAAGCCTACGAAAATCCCCAAATTTGTTATAACGAATTGTTCATTGTTCTCTAGTGAGCTTTTTTAGCCAAAAGGAATAAGATTTTTGAGATTGAGAAATTGTACCCAAAGCCATGGTCGATGTAATAGGGGAGGTTCGACAAGAGAGTCTCATCGATATCGAAAATCCAAATATCTTTGCCATCGCCGGAGAATTCGACGCTGCTCGCGAAGATTGAAGCCTCTTCAGAGACTCTCTCCAGATCGGTGGTGTAACCTTTACCGATGACGTAATCCTTGACGTATTCGGCGCACTCCGCCGGAATCGTCTGCCACGGGGAGAGATTATTAGTCTCCGCCGCGAATCTCCAGCTCGTGCAATGCAAATTGACTTGTTCGTCATCGGATTTCTTGTGCCGGGTGGTCTCGATTTCTGACGGGTACTCGATGATCAACGGCCTCGGCAACAGGTACGAGCCGGGAGTTTCGTCGGAAAACGCGGACGAAAACAAGGTAACCACAAGGAGAATCGCATAAATCCTCATCGGAGAAATCGCCGGAAATCGAATCAATCGAAATTTGTGGTTTTCTGAAAATCAATTGCGAATCTAATGAAATTTTCGACAAGTCAAACAAATTGAGGAATCTATATCAATAAGAGGGTTTATTGAAGAGGGAAAACGAAACAAACGGCGAAAAGGAATCAGTACAAAGAGAAGGGAAGAGAAAAGGATAGTTTTCAAATTGGATAAATGGAATATCTTGTGGAAGAAGAAAACCTTGAGTTTTAATTTCTATGGAGAAAATAATCAGAATGGGTCATGTCTCTTTAAAGAGTCAGACAGTAAATTGCAAAAGGCAGGGAGTGGCCGGTGACGTGTATGAAAAGTCATTATATAAAATAATATTATGATTATCCACAATTAAATGAAGGGAGAATCTGTTCGTTTCGGGTACGGATCTTGGATAAAATCCAACTGGGCGGATCCGAATATTCCTAGATGTACCTTTGGGTCGACTATGGTCATTTGATGTCGTTCTTTTCAATTTCAAGTGACGCAATGTCTAATTAATAATTACAAAACCACAAGGGCTTGATTCTTATTCGACAATAAGAGTTTGTTATGTGATTGGAGTTTTATCCTTCTTTAATTAATCGACTTTCAAGATCAATGTTGGTTTAGTGACTAATACTGTAGTATTATATAAAATGTAACTATTGTGGTATGTGAATTTGTATAAAGAAAATAAAATGAAATGATACTGATCTGTAAATTGCATTTTATTCATTAAAATCGTATTTATGAAATAAACTTATGATGTTTTACGTATAGGAAATTACGGATGATAAGCTTATTGACAGGTTCTATTAGAATTGGATAAGCTTATTGTAGTCTAATGAAAACGGATACTTGCACCGTTGCACGCACGCTAAGGTCCGTGTGAATACAGTGTCAAAGGGAATTGATTATCAACGAATTGTAATTTATACAACCAATAAATAACGTGTTTATAACGCTAATTAATTAACTATACATGTTTTGATCTGTTTAATTTAGGTTTATGTTAACTTCTCTGAAAAGACAAAATATATTCGAGACACATTCAATCAACCAATTTAATTTATACAACAACAAAAATAACGTGTTCATAAGGCTAATTAATTAATACATATGTTTTTATCTGGATGCGAGAATCCCAGTGGTACATCCTAGGATGACAGTTAGTGATTTCATTAACAGAGATACAAAAGAGTGGAATCTGAGGATGCTAGAAGAATACATGAACCCAGAAGAGATTCCGCTAATCCAAGGCATGGCCATTAACAAGACTTTCCACATGGACAGTTATAGTTGGAGCTACACTAAAACCGGTCTATACACGGTAAAGTCCAGATATTGGGTCGCAAGAAACCTTCTCAACCCAATTGAGGAGTCATATTTGGAGCCAAGTATCCGACCTCTACAAGCTCATGCTTGGAGGATGAAAGCCGCATAAAAAATCAGACATCTAGTATGGCAAATTCTCTCGGGTTATCTACCTGTTACAAAAAACCTTACCCATCGAGGGATGAGGTGTGACAACATTTGCTCTAGATGTGGAGTCCCAGAAAAAACTATAAACCATGCTATCTTTGAATGTCCACCAGCTCTACAAACATGGGCCCTTGCCACTACTGCCATGCCGCCAAGCTTATTTCCATCTCCGGGTATTTATACGAACATGGACTACCTCTTTTGGAGAAGATCTGACAATGGGGATGAAGAAGAAGACAAAGACCCTTTTCCATGGATCATTTGGTTTATTTGGAAGGCACAGAACGAGAAACTCTTCCAAGGCATATCCCGTGACCCCTTAGGGACGGTTTGGCATGCAGAAGCATAATGCAAAGTCTGGCATGAAGCAAATAACAAGGTTTCCCAACCTTTTTTTGACACAGAACCAAGCCATAAGCTTGCGGGACATATGTTTGGTGGATGGATCATGGCATCAAGACAATACATACAGTGGATGTGGATGGATATGGATAACATCGGAAGGGACCCAACGAATGCTCGGTCTTCATAACCAGCCACGACGTCTTTCTCCTCTTCACATGGAAGTGGAAGCGCTTTTATGGGCCATGCAATGTGTTCTCCAACATACCACATCTCAATCGTTTGGAACCGACTGCCAGGATGTGATCAAGATGATTGAGAAGCCGCACGAATGGCCAAAATATTCTACTGAGCTTCTAGAGTTTAAGCGTTTGAGGAGCTCCTTCTCGTCCTTCTCTATTGCCTATGTGCCTCGGGCTCTTGTTAGTAAAGCCGATCACTTGGCCAAACTTGCTAGGTCTTTTGTTAGGCCTCTTTCCTTTGTTGGTTTTTCTATTCTGGGGTGGGTAACCACACCAATTCTAGTTTGAGTAATGGAAGAACCTTATGTCGCCTATTCCCTCACCAACTAAATTGGTTCCATCGAGATTTACACAGACTTTTCAGCCCTCTCCAATTCCACCCAAACTTTTAATCTCTGTCGATTCCCCCATTTGCGTTTTTATTAGCAAAATGCAGTTTTCGCAACATTGATTGCCCGTTTAAACGCAATTGACCCGAGTTTTTACAACGTAAACCCGAGGTTTGTTTAAAAAACCAAGACCCGATTCTCTTTTCTCCTAACCCGATACCACACTACACATACACCGAAAATTAAAATCGATTTGAGGAAATCAAAAGGGGATTAGGGTTCTTCGATTCTTGGTAGATTCGATTCCGTCGAGAGGAGAATTGGACATCTTTTATTCCGAAAGAGACAGGAAGGTAAGCTAACTATAATTCTGAATTGGTTTCTTTGTCGAATTCTTTGGTGATTTCATTTTTTGCTTCATGTAGTCATCATTGTTGCTGGTTTCTTTTTCGAATAGGGAACATGACAATGAGTAGTTCATCTTCAGCTTCATTTCATTTGACCAACAGAAGATCAGTGAATGGTGTTCCATTAAGATGTTGGTGTGGTAGGAACCTTGTGACTTATGCGGCTCAGACCAAAGACAATCCTTTCCGTCGATTCTACAGATGTGAAGTTGCATTACAGGTACAAACCAATCAAAAACAATCAATAGAATTTACACATATATGAAAGAGTTATCTTATTGTATGTAAATTGTGTGTGTAGAGGAAAATGGAAGAGCATCTTTTCAAGTGGATTGATGAAGCTTTGCTCGATGAGACTAGAATGGTGGAGAGAAAGCATTTGAGTCTTGTTGAAGAGGTAAAGGAATTCAGAGGAAAAATGGTGGAGAAACTGGAGCTAGAAGAGAGGATGATCCTTAAGATGGTTGAAGAAAGAATGAAAGAAGAGCTAGAAGAGGTGAAAGCAAAAGTTGAAGCAAAAATTAAAGAAGAAATGATGATGGCTGCTGAAACATTGCAGAAGATGGCTCGAGAGATGGCAAAAACGAGCATGCAAAAGGTTGGGATTACATTGTTGGTTGTAGGAGCAATAGGAAGGATTTGTGGTAAGCTTATGGGTTAGATTTGTGGTAAGCTTAATGTGTGTTTGTTTCATTTTGTTGGATTGTTGATGGATCGAAGTGTATTGGTGTGAAACCTTATTATCTTTGGAAATTTGCATCTTTGAAAATGTATTGTCCTACTTTTGACCTTTCTAAGTTGTTTGATCAGTAAATGTGTTCACCAAAACATGAACGTAAATCCAATATCTCTCCATCTCAACTGTAATGCCTTGAAAATAGCATTTATAATCCAAAAAGAACAACAAAAGAACATCCATAATCCCAAAGAAAGACAAGAATGAACATTCATAATCCGAGAAAGAACAACAAAACAGGAATCACAAGAACGAATCACAACAAAAGAAGAACAATCCGCATAAGGAGGAATCCGAATTCCAAGTTTTACTCTGACATTTGAGAGGGTTGAGTGAGTGACATGGTTTCAGGACCTTGATATATAACTAAAGCCTCATTCCTTGAGATGAAGTATTGGCCTGGAAACCAAAACATGCACATAAACTCAGAGATAAGCAAAGTCATAAACCATAGCAAAACTCATAGACAATCAAAATCAGAATCAATCAAACTCTCAAACTCATTAACTCAGAGACAAGCGAAAATACCTGGTCACTTGCTTCTTCTGTCATCTTTTGCTTCTTCCTTGGGTGTATCTTACATCCAACTGCATTGTGTCCAGCTTCACCACACTTTGAGCAATGGATAATTCGACAAGTCCTTTTGGTTTTCTGAACCTGTCTTTTTTTCTTTTTTGGTGACTCAAACTTTCCTTTGATTCTTTTTTTTAATCTTCTTCTCTTTTTTTTTTTTTTTTTTTTTTTTTTTTTTTTTCAGATCCCTCTGGCGGATCTTGTTCTGGAGGAGCTACCACCAGCCTATGAGAACCAGCCATTGATGTGGAGTCAGGTTTTACCAAACTCCTAGACCTCTGCAAGTGCACAGATCGCGGAAGTATGGGTATCGAACACAAGGACTGGCTATTGAGTACACTTTGAAACTATGGATTTTGGATCAAGCTAAAACAAAAGTATGATTGAGGTTGTAATGGTGAACCGAACTAGCAAGTATAACGAGGTTGTAAACAATAAAGGAAAAGCGCTAGGTCATAGGGGCTATCGCAGAGAAGCAAGCAATGATCAATGAAACAATGATAGATGAATTGATTAGGGATATTGGGATATTAAGAACCATCTAGAACACAGATCACGAATATAAAACCATTCCACTTTCGAGGCTCCGGCTCCTTTGTTAATCTACCTAGTCGCTAAACTTTTGGTATGTCCCTAGGTGATTAAATCAAGCTTTAGAATGAATAGGTTCTGATACAGTTCACTAGATATAGTAGATCAACTTTCGCAGTCTAAGAAACCTAGCTTGTCAAAGAATATGTCCGGCGAATGATACACACTGTCGAGGCTCAAATCAACCTAAGATCGGATTACTAGATGCGCGGTAAAGCAATCAGCATTAGTTAAGTGCACAAGACGAGACAAAGACTCTAATATAATCCCTAGCTAATCATTGAAATCAAAGATCATGCAAGCAACTCATTGAATAGTAACCCTAGCAACCTAACTAGTGGATTACTCAGACATGATCAAAGCAAACACACATAGAGATGAAGAAAACATGATTGCAATAAAACTTAGAGTAGGAAATCGAAATACAAGGGCGGCTCTCTTTCACAAGAGGCTAAAAAGCTATATATATAGTGCTAGGTCTTTTAGAGGCGGCTTAGGGTTAAGCCGGGCTTGAAAATATGAAATGGGCTTCAAAACGGGCTTCGGGTCGACCGCGGCGTTGGGACGGTCGGTCGGGACGATCGGCCGGACATCGGGTCGTGGCCGAGTCGGAACGGTCGTGGCCGGATGGATTCACGGTCGGCCGGCGTGAAGATTTGGCCGATGTTTCTCGGCCGGACGTGGGACGTTCTTTCCCGGCTCGGACGGATGCATCGGCCGTGGTACGCGAGGGGTTGCGCGGCCGCGAGGCTTGTTCCCGGCTCGCGCGGCATGGTCGTGCGCGGCGTGGCGTGAGGTTGTGCTTGGCCGACCGCGGGCAATGTTTCCCGGGTCGTGATTGTGATCGGCCGGATTGACTTTGGCCGAGCGGAAACAATAGTTTCTCGGCCAGCCGGACTGCGCGGTTGGGCGCTGATTCTCGATAGAGCCGTCTGGACAGTCTTCACTCTTTTGGTTGTAACTCCTTTTCTACTCATCCAAATAGGCCATTCCAGTTGCGTTGGAAAGTTAACTCAATCAGAGCACGCAGGGAACTGGTCTTGATGAAATCCATTGAGTAGATCTTTTTCTGGGCCCTCTTAAAGTTGGTGCTTGTGCATGGAGCGGCTTGAAGTGCAAATCCTATGGTTTTGCTCCAAAATGCATCATTTCACCTGTTTAGACTCTAGACACTATAAACACAGTAAAACTACCTTTTTAGATAGAAAACCTGCCAAAAACCATTAGAAAACAATGCTAAAACAGTATAAAAAGTGGGTAAATTAGAGGTATATCAACTCCCCCAGACTTAGATCTTTGCTTGTCCTCAAGCAAAAAGAATCTAAATCCGTGAAAGAGGTTTGAAAACGTGGAAGCTCCCTTGCTCTTTTGAATATCCTGTGAAAGGTTCCTTTCCTGTATTCCACTATGAACATAGACAACATAAGGTTAGCTTCACATACACCCTGCAAGTTTAGCGAACAATACCAACCCAACTAGTCTCATCCAGCAATCCAAACTCTCTATTGCTAACCTCTTGCATAAATTTAAAGCGTGAATTCTTTATCAAGGGGACATCGATCAATTGAACTTGTTCTTACCCACTTGATCTCTCCAAGATTGTCTTTAAGTGCAATGAGTTCTTTTCCTCTCTCTTTCTCACATCAGAACTTTGAAAGGTCAATTTCTCCCTACTTTTCTAGGGTATCATTTTATTTTTTCTATTGACCCTTCTTTCAACCACAGGATAAGTCTTTAGCTTGTTCCTTGTTTGACTAAGGTATTCCATAAGACATGAAGGTACAGACATATGCATTCCTCATGCTTACTTGTTTCCTTGTGCTCTTTGAGCTTTTTCTCATAAACATTACTTACCATTTGGGATGGGAGAGAGAGGAGAACTCTTTAAAGATTAGACAAATCTTATTGAAAATCAAGCAAGGAACTGTCGACATGTATGCCAACCCCCTTGACAAGAGTAATTAAGATTGATTAAGGGTGAGGTTAACTCTAGATTGCTTGGTTACCTTAGAAATTTTGCTGAGCTAGCATGTCGATCCACTGTAAGAGCTTCTGTTAGGCTTGTGCCTTTAGCTGGTTTCTGCTCTAGGGTCATGGATTGTTAGCACAACACTCTCAATTCTCAAAGCAAGTTCATAACTTCCGGACTGGTTTTTGACTCAATAAAACTTTTTGAAAAACATGAAACAAAGTGAATAAAACATAAGAAAAGAAAGAAAAATGCATTAGTAACACAATAAAACTCCCCCCAGACTTAACTTGCACCGTCCCGGTGAAAGCAAATCACATTAAGGTGAGAGGTAATATTCAAAGTAAAAGAAAAATAAAGAAAATTCATTAAAATGAGATAGGGATAGAAAATGGAGATTTGTAAGTGTCCATTGCACTAAGTACCACTTGAGATGACTATGTGTGGCAGTGAGAAGAACTCTCTTCCTCATCTATGGGGTCATCGCCTTCTGAACCAAGCTCTGAGTCTAGTGAGAACTCACCAAGGTCAGGCTCATATGGCTCTCTAGCGGTGGAAGAAGGGCGAAAGAGTCTCTCCGGTGCAATGTGGCGAACTACGCGACTAGGCGTGAGATGAAGCGAGATTGGCATTCCACTATCTTCTCCAGCTTGTTAACACGGTCTAGAGCTTGGTGCGCGGCCATGCCAGTAGTGAGAACATGGCGTTCTTGGTGGCGGCGTTGAGTCTTGACTGCATGCTGAAGTGTGCGATAGGTGAGCATGGGGAATGATGGTTTCTCACTTGATGGAACATAGAATCTTCCTCATTGGGCTGGAAAGTGACAACACCTGAGCGTAGGCTTGGGATGTCTTCATGTGGCAGCAAGACAAGGGAAGTGTTGGCTGGACCAATTGGAAACTCATAGCAAAACCGAGTTGGGTCTTTAGTCCAACGGTTTAGGAAGTGGATGTGCTGAAGAGCATGGAGATCCAAAGGGGTTGGCTTGGGTAGTGGCTCATAGTTGGGAATGTCAATCCCCACATGTTGTACTATGGCCGTGATAAGCCTCCCAAAACGAACACAAAGCTTCTTGTTGCCTTCCAAGTCTTGAGCTAGCTTCCTCACATTGATGAATGTCTTGGCAAGTAAAAGACCAAGGTTGGCCTTGTACTCATGCTTGATGAATGGTGTGGTGAGGATGTAGAACTCATCAGTTGTGACCTTGTTGGCTTCTTGTTTGCATTGGAAAGTGGTGGAGATGAGGCGGTGCACATAGCGAATGGCTGGATGAGTGATTCTAGACACCTTTGACCTTGAAGGCAAGAATGGTTCATTGGCAAAGTGTGTCCAATCAGCAAAGGCAGCTTGTTTCCTCTTTGAGTTCTCCTTGAAGTCATGTGCTGTCTCATTGGGAAGTCCAAAGAGTTGGCATAGAGCTGAGATGGAGATGCGCCCATTGGCATCGCCTATCTTGAAGAGTAGGAGTCCATCACCAGCTGGTTGGTCTCCATTGTGGTTGGGAAAGGCAAGAGCTACTGTGGAGAGGAACTCCTTGGTGAGTTGTGAGTACTCACTACATTCTAGCTTGAAGAGCTTGCTCAAGCCTAGCTTCCTTATGTACCATGTGACATCATCTCTTATCTTGAGAAGGTCAAGGGTTTGGGTGTCCATCTTCACACAAGGTTCGATGTTCACCTTCTCCATTGCCTTCTTACACTTTCTTGGGTCTTGGATTTGTTCTCCAACAAAGTTACAAGTGCCCAATCATCTTCTCCTCTTCTTGGACTCTCCACATGTTCTTGACTTGCATCAATGGAATGTGGTGAAGTTGGTATTGCTGCTCTTGCATTGGAGCTACTACTCCCTAGCTTGATTTGTTTCTTTGGTGGTTCCATGAATGGGTTCTTCTTCTTCTTCATACTCTCATTTCCTTTTGTCTTTGCCATTGGGTACCTACAAGAGCAAATTCTTGGGAAGAAATATGAGTTTGTGATTAATGCAAAAGAAGAATAAGCTAATTGAGTTGTAATAATGATATGGAATAATGGAACAACTCAAGGCTTAATCATGAATCAAAGAGACAAAATGGAAATTTCACTTTTTCAAAGTTAATTTTCGGATTTTACTGTTCATCCCAAGATTATGGTGCTTAAAATCAAAATTTTCAGCAAATCAAGAGAAATTGAGTTTCTAATCCAAGTAATCACTAGATAAACTAATGAATTGAAGTATGCCTAAGCAATTTCACCTTTGAATAAGGGGTTTGGAATGCCCAATAAGTTTTGTGAAAAACTATTCAATTGTGAAATTAAACTTCAAATTAACTCTAAACCACCTAGGTTCCACCTAGCTAAGTTCATTACAAGACTAATAAGGATGTAATTTCAAGTTTAGACAAGAGTTTAGACCAAACAAGAAACTTATTGAAATTTTCGATCTTGCATAAACATAGGATTAGAGTTAGAAGACATACCTTGTGTGTTGAAAAGTGAATAAGGTTGCAAGAGCAAGTAAATTCCAATTTAGAGTTATGAACAGTAAAAGTTTTGAAATCAAAGCTCTTAGAGTTCCTCTAATGGAGTTTAGGGTTTTGGAGAAGAAAGAGAGGTTCTTGTTGTTTTCAAGGGAAAGGTAAAGTAAATAAGATCTAAATCCTATCAATTTTCCTTTTCAAATTCGAATTTTGATTGAAAACCGGTTTAAGTTGGTTTAGATTGGTTAAAACCGGTTTGAATTAAATGAAAAGGGGACTTACCTTGGCCGAGAAAAGTTTGGGCCGATGGCCGATGGATTTTGTCGCGGTCGAGCGATTTGGTCGGCCAAATTTGTTTGGCGAGAGATTTCGGCCGAGGCCGATCGTTTGTTTCCCGGATCGACCGGCACGGTCGGTCCGTTCCGATACAAAATCGGCCGATCGCGGCCGTTCTTTCCCGGTTCGTGCGTGCCGCGCGAACGTTTTCTGTCGCGATAGATAATCCGGCCGAGCACGCCGTTCCTTCCCGGCTCGACCGTACGGTCGGCCCGGTTGGAATTGCTCGGCCAAAATTCACTTTTGCGCGTCCGCGGCCAATGTTTGGCGCGGATTGTGTTTTCACACCTTTTTCTCCTTCTATCCTATCTTAAAACAAAGAAAACACAAAAGCAAAACAAAAACTAAGAAATTAAAGAAAGAAAAGTAAAAGTACCTCATGGGTTGCCTCCCATGCAGCGCTTGTTTTAAGTCTTTAGCTTGACTGTAGGCTTGGCGCTCAGGAGAAGATGGAGACAAGAGGCATCTTTGATCCTCCAAGTCTTTTCTCCTTGCAATGAGTATCTGGTGGGTGATTCACAGCTGGATAGACAATCTCTCCATGAATGTCCCTTGGCACTACTGCCTTAGGAAAAAGCTTTAGAGTTCTTGTCACTTTCTCCTTGAATCCTTCTAGATTCTCATCAATAAGCTCCTTTGGGAATAGAAGCTTCATGTTGCGGCCAGACCTAGGCTTTTCTAACCTTCTTCTTGGCTTGGCCTCATCTTCAATCTTGGTTGATCCCTTGGGCGGTTTTGGTGTAGGGGCCTTAGTCTTACTCCTTGCTTGTTTGGCAAGCTGCTTGGGCTTAGGAATGGGATCTTCCTTGATTGTTTCTTCAGTTTCTCCTTCTTGGGGTGGCTTCAAAGTAACTTTCTCCTCTTGGACCATGTCAACAAAAGAGTTCTTTGTTGAACACATAGGGAAGAACATACCCTTGTTCACCTTGTTGAAAGAGATTCTTTGATTGGGGAAATCAAATATGGCACCCACAGTAGACAGGAAAGGGGTTCCAAATATGAGAGGTCTATGGCTACTCTCTCTCATTTCCACAATCTGGAAATCAGTAGGGATAGAGCAATTTCCAATCTGCACCATCACATTAGGCACAAAGCCATAGGGGTTTGTGAGAATGAATCAGCATAGTTGATGGAGATGGATGATGGCTCTATCTTGGTGAGGCCTATCTTGTCAGCTATCCTCTTAGACATGATGTTCACATTGGCTCCTGTGTCACACAAAGATTGCTCAAGAATGTTACCTTTGATGATACAAGGCACAACAAACTTTCCTGAGTTATCAGTCTTGGGGATAATCTTTGGGAAGAGTCTTCTCTTTCTAGCTCGATTGGACTCTCTCTCTGGGTAATTCTCTTCAGGCCAAATCATGCAATCAACAGTAGGTTTTGAAAGCATCCATTCTGGAACTTGGTCTTCAAATCTTTCTTCTATGGCGGCTGAGTTGCAAAAGGACTTCTTGGATTCAGCTTCCTGTCTCTTAACAGCTTCCATAGTTTGAGTGACTTGAGTCTCTAGTTTCTTCACATGAGTGGCAACAGCATCATACTTGGTGTTGAGATTGCTGAACAAAGTGTCCATCTTCTCATACATCTCTTTAGTGTTTCTCTTCTGGCCATCCATGATCTGTTGGAGGATTCCTTCAAATCTCCCACCTTGTTGGTTTGGAGGAGCTTGATTTGGTGAAGAAGCATATGGCTCCTTGGGCGGATATGATGATCTCTGCTCATATCCTTGCCTTGGCTGAAATTGACTTCCTTGAGATTGGTAAGGAGGTCTTTGTTGTTGTGGATACCTTGGAGGATACACTTGGTCTTGAGGATTCTCCACATTGGGGTTTCTATAAGACATGTTGGGGTTTGGGCGATAGCTTGGATTGTATCCCTTGTTCCCATAGTTTCCAATGTAGTTCACATCTTCTTCATTGGCTTCATTAGAGAATCTCCCATGCATTCTCTTGATGAATCTTCATTAGCATCACTCATCCCTTCTATTGCATTGATATGCTTGAGCTGTCCCTTAAGAACTTGAGCCATCATGTTCTTGAGTTCAGTCATTTGAAAAGAATCAGGGGAGCTAGTAGTGGTGCGGCTTGAGCGGTCATAATCAGGACAGTTGTTACAATCACTAGCTGCAAGATTCTCAATAAGAACCTTAGCTTCATCAACAGTCTTGGTCATGAAGTTTCCATTGCTTGCAGTGTATCCAATGAAAGCTTGTACTTGTGGTCAATGCCACGATAGAAGATGTTCCATAGGTTTCCCTCATTGAAACCATGATTAGGGCAGTCCCTAATGTACTCCTTGAATCGATCTAGCGCCTCATAGAAAGATTCATTGTTGCCTTGGCGAAAAGTGGAGATCTTGTTTCTCACAGAAATTGATCTCTGTTTGGTGTAGAAGTGGTTGATGAATGCAGCCTTGTACTCATCCCAAGTGGTGATGGAGTGAGCTGGCAGAGACTTCAACCATCTTGAAGCTTTGTCGCCAAGAGAGAATGAAAAGAGCTTGCACTTAAGGTAGTCAGCAGAGACTCCATTGGATCTTGTAGTGCTGCAAATTTCTTCAAAGTTTTCTATGTGATCAAGAGGGTGCTCAGCTGGAAGTCCATTGAATTGGTTCTGTCTAACCAATGCAATGATCTGAGGCTTGATCTCATAGTCATTCCTTGCAGGTGGTGGTGGATGGATAGGGTTTCTATCCATGAAGAAAGCATCGGCAGAGTCATAGTCTCCGATTGTAGGTGCTCCAGCTTGGGGTTGTGCGTTCACATCTCCAGCAGGGTCTTGTGGATTAGGAGGAGGAGGAGGTGGATCTCTTCCTTCTTCTTGAGCGCGCGCCACTTCAGCGGCGTGAGCGCGAGCTGCTTCGTCGGCCATCTCTTGGGCTTTCTGCTTCCTAAGTTGCTTCTCAAGCTTGTCTATCTCTGGATGTTCAACTAGGTTGTCCTTGTTGGACCTCCTAGTCATGCACCTGAAAAGAGTCTTGGAAACAAGTTAAACTAAAAGGAAAAACAAAAACAAAAGTAAAAATCAAAGAAAAGGAAATCAAAAACTAAAAATTCAAAAGCAAAAGAAAAGCAAAACAGGAAAAGGTTCTAGACTAGATCCTAGTCGAGTTCCAAAGGTACTGCTGCAGTCCCCGGCAACGGCGCCAAAAACTTGATGCGGAGTCAGGTTTTACCAAACTCCTAGACCTCTGCAAGTGCACAGATCGCGGAAGTATGGGTATCGAACACAAGGACTGGCTATTGAGTACACTTTGTAACTATGGATTTTGGATCAAGCTAAAACAAAAGTATGATTGAGGTTGTAATGGTGAACCGAACTAGCAAGTATAACGAGGTTGTAAAGCAATAAAGGAAAAGCGCTAGGTCATAGGGGCTATCGCAGAGAAGCAAGCAATGATCAATGAAACAATGATAGATTAATTGATTAGGGATATTGGGATATTAAGAACCATCTAGAACACAGATCACGAATATAAAACCATTCCACTTTCGAGGCTCCGGCTCCTTTGCTAATCTACCTAGTCGCTAAACTTTTGGTATGTCCCTAGGTGATTAGATCAAGCATTAGAATGAATAGGTTCTGATACAGTTCACTAGATATAGATAGATCAACTTTCGCAGTCTAAGAAACCTAGCTTGTCAAAGAATATGTCCGGCGAATGATACAGCACTGTCGAGGCTCAAATCAACCTAAGATCGGATTACTAGATGCGCGGTAAAGCAATCAGCATTAGTTAAGTGCACAAGACGAGACAAAGACTCTAATATAATCCCTAGCTAATCATTGAAATCAAAGATCATGCAAGCAACTCATTGAATAGTAACCCTAGCAACCTAACTAGTGGATTACTCAGACATGATCAAAGCAAACACACATAGAGATGAAGAAAACATGATTGCAATAAAACTTAGAGTAGGAAATCGAAATACAGGGCGGCTCTCTTTCACAAGAGGCTAAAAATCCATATATATAGTGCTAGGTCTTTCTAGAGGCGGCTTAGGGTTAAGCCGGGCTTGAAAACATAAGTTTGGGCTTCAAAAGGGCTTCGGGTCGACCGCGGCGTTGGGACGGTCGTCGGGACGATCGGCCGGACATCGGGTCGTGGCCGAGTCGGAACGGTCGGGGCCGGACGGATCGGTCGGCCGGCGTGGTCGGACGGTGAAGACTTGGCCGATGAAATCTCGGCCGGACGTGGGACGTATTTCCCGGCTCGGACGGATGCATCGGCCGTGGTACGCGAGGTTGCGCGGCCGCGAGGCTTGTTTCCCGGCTCGCGCGCTTTGGTCGTGCGCGGCGTGGCGTGGCGTTGGCTTGGCCGACCGCGGGCAATGTTTCCCGGGTCGTGATGCGTGATCGGCCGGTCGGTTTGGACTTTGGCCGAGACTTCAGACGGACGGAATGATTTGGCCGAGCGGAACATCGTTCCTCGGCCAGCCGGACTGCGCGGTTGGGCGCTGATTCTCGATAGAGCCGTCTGGACAGTCTTCACTCTTTTGGTTATAACTCCTTTTCTACTCATCCAAATAGGCCATTCCATTGCGTTGGAAAGTTAACTCAATCAGAGCACGCAGGGAACTGGTCTTGATGAAATCCATTGAGTAGATCTTTTTCTGGGCCCTCTTAAAGTTGGTGCTTGTGCATGGAGGCTTGAAGTGCAAATCCTATGGTTTTGCTCCAAAATGCATCATTTCACCTGTTTAGACTCTAGACACTATAAACACAGTAAAACTACCTTTTTAGATAGAAAACCTGCCAAAAACCATTAGAAAACAATGCTAAAACAGTATAAAAAGTGGGTAAATTAGAGGTATATCAGCCATCCAGAAACCTGGTCCTCTCATTGGCTTGACATTATCAATGTAACAGTCTCGCTGTTTAGTTGTTGAGAAGCACTCGTTGACATGATCATCACTGGCTAAACCAGCATCTAACATCACTCCATATGCATGCTCACATGGGATGCCTGAGATTTTCCATTTAAAACACGAGCATGTCTTCTTTCTCGTGTCTACATGGAATTTATCATCATAAAGCTCCACCTCGTAGTTCCCATGACTCCCATGACTAACCATACATTTGTCAGCGTGTTCCTTCAGCTCAGCGAGTACCAATTTGACATACTTTGTACACCTACCATCCCATCTTTCAGCCTTCTTCTGTTTCTTTTCATTTCGAACCATTGCTTGCCTCTTAATGGTCTCAAGCATTGGTATTATGGCCTTACCTCTTGCCTTTGTAATAGTTGCATTGAAAGATTCT